GGGCTTCATCTGACATACTTTGGACATATTGTAAGGAGGGATGGGTCCTTGGAGAGGGACATCATGCTTGGGAGGGTGGAGGGACAGTGCAGGAGGGCAAGACCCTCTAGAGGTGAATTGATTCTGTGACTGGGGTAATTGGGATGGGTGTGTCAGAGGCAGTGTGATTGGCACAGGATAGAGCAGGGTTTAGGGCTATTGTACATAGGGTTGCTCTGAGTTGCAGGCAACTTGCCAGCACATAACAACAAACAACAACAACTGTCAAATCAGTCTGACTGGTACAGGAGGAAATTCTCCCTCCTTCTCCAGCAGAGCATCTGGTGGATTTGAACCATGCACATCTGGGATTGCATTGTAGCTTCTTGCCACTAGGCCACCTGAGCTCTTTAACCTTACTCTCTTCTTATGGTTTTAGGAGAAACTAGTTCAAGAAATTGCTCGTTATCCTGGAATTTTAATCACTTCGTACTCATACATTCGATTGATGCAAGATGACATTAGCAGGTATGACTGGCATTATGTAATCTTGGATGAAGGACACAAAATACGAAATCCAAATGCTGCCATCACCCTTGCTTGCAAACAGGTATGGCTTCTTATAATAAGGGGGTTTCCAGTTGTATCACAGTATTTAAATAAAGTGTTTGCTCAATCTGATTAATAATGACTAACCCTTTGCGTAAGAAATTTAAAAAATATGTTTTTGTAATAATGTATAACATTATTTATTAGTTGCACTGCCTCATGTTTCTTTGTTTTGCTTTTTTATTCTAATTGCTCACAGCACTAAATGTGTTTTGTAGGGATCGATTCTTATAATTTCACCACTTCCAACTCTAATCTTTATTATTCGCTTTGAACATTAACAAAACCCTTCTCCCCCATTTTTCATGTATATGTATGTGGTAAATTATAATTACAAAAAATTCCGTGCTTTGGAGAATATTGAAGTGATGAAAAAACTAAAGTGCTACTAGTTTTGTTCAGCAGTAGTAGTGTATAGAAATGGATAATGAATTTATTTTGAAGATATTTTCTTTGACCACCTAGTTCCGTACCCCTCATCGCATCATCCTGTCTGGCTCACCAATGCAGAATAACCTCCGAGAGCTGTGGTCACTCTTCGACTTTATCTTCCCAGGAAAGTTAGGAACCCTGCCAGTGTTTATGGAGCAGTTCTCAGTTCCCATTACCATGGGAGGATATTCTAATGCTTCCCCAGTACAGGTAACTGCTAAGCTAGTAACACTTTTGTCATATTAATATATAATAGTTTTCTACCAAATAACTTTGTACTTAAGTAATTAAAAATATAAGAGAAACAATCATTTTTGTAAGTTGATGTCTGATATAATCACAGAATTGTTTTTGTTTCATAGATCACATTTTTCTTGATGAGTTCTTAAGAATTATATACTTTTTAAAAAAAAAACCCTTTTTATAAAGTAGAGGTAACCCATTTAGTTTTCATTCTTCGTGAAGTAGTCAGAAATCTGACTCGAGGGAATCAGTTCTGGACAACATATAACTTAGTGAAAATTAGAGTAATATGTCTGATGGCCTAGAGGTAAGAAGCTGCCCTGCAATTGTAAAGCCATACAGCTTGTAGGAAAATGATGATCATTCTAATCCTGTTTGATTTACTGCCTCTGAAAACCCACTGGAGAGTCAGCTGTGGATTAGCTGTGACTCAACAGCACATCACAAAAACATTATCTTATAAGTAGGACACCAAGGAGGACTATATTTTTTTAGGAAGATGTACAAGATATACACACCTCAGCTTGATTTTTAGAAAATAGGCCAAGAGGAGAGAGGGTATTCTAAATAAGAATGTGCAAAACAACATGCTGTGGAGAGACTCTTTCTGGAAACACTGCTTGCAGGAGAGCTCTGGGCATGCTGTGGATGCTGCCAAGAGGGCCTGGGAAATGAGGTGGAGACTTGGGCACAGGGGAGCCACTGAATCTTTTGAGTAGAAGTTTGAGGGTGTTTCCTTCTAGGAGGATTTTTTAGTTTGTAGGGCATTTATAGGATGGGAGACTGCCGTTAAGGGGCTGCAGTAATTGAAGGTTAATGTGATGGCAACAGAGAACTGAACTTAGAAACTTAGCGCTGGTCCTAAGAAAGAATATGAAGAGCAAGAGGCTTAGGTGGCAGTTTTTAGGCAGAACAATTAAAAAATGGGGAGATGGGGGACTCCTGCAACAGATCCTTGGAGTTTTAAACCCAGCTGACTATTGATAATACAACAGGGTCTCATGGGCAGCAGTAGCAAGTAAGACCAACTCGAGAGGTGTTTGGGGTATTTTTACTTTAATTAAGATACAAAGAGAAGGCTTATGTGGTAAGTTTTGGCAGATTCTCACTGTGATGAAGGCAGAGCGTTTACACAGTCATGAGAAGTTAATCAGGAAAAGAATTTTAGACCTTTAGAATTAAGATAATTGGCCACCATTCTTCTTCCATTCTGAGATTAAATTATTTTTAATTGGATCTGTGGTAAGGGTTCTTGCTCTCTTCTTGGTGTCTTTCATTTAACCTTTAAAAAAACTTTTTATTTTTAAATAATTTCAAACTAAACAGACGTGAAAGAATATAAGACCTATAGATTTACCTTTCTTAAGAATGAGAAAAATAATAGACTTCTTCCATTCCATCGGCCAGACAGCTGTCCTCCAGATTTCCTGGCATAGACTAGTGAGTGCATCCGAGAATGCATCTGTTAATTGAAATAAGTCAATTGGTATCTCATCGATTCCTGGGGCCTTATTTTTTGCTAATGCCTTCAATGAAGCATCCATTTCTCCTTCATTACCATTGTTTCCTTTTCATATGTTATTGTTAGGTGCTGTTGAGTCGCCTATGACTCATAATGAACTTATGTACAACAGTTCTGAACCCTGTCCTGTCCTGAGCCAGTCTCACTAATTCCAATATACCAATCTCCGTTGCCCCAGTTACTATATCAGTTTATCTCATTTGGGGTCTTCCTCTCCTGCGCTGTCCCTCCACCTTTCCTAAAATTTTTCAGTGTCAATCAGTTCTTTTTGGTACTGTGATTCTGCATATTCCTTCCATCTTCTTTTGATGCTTTCTGGCATCAAAAGAGCATCTTTATATATTGCAACTTGAGGTTTAAATTTTTCAATTCTCTCAGCTTCAGAAATGTAGAGCGAGTTCTTCCCTTTTATTCTCCAGTTCCAGCTCTCCACACATTCTATTATAATACTTCTGATTTTGTTCTCCAGAGCAGCCCTTTGAGATCTTATTTTCAACTCTTTCCCTTTGTTATGGCTTCTCAGTGCTGTAGTGCAATTTTCAGAATCTCTTCTGACATCCATTTCTGTTTTTTCTTTCTTTGTCTTTATAATGACCTTTTACTCTCTTCATGGGTGATGTCCCCAACTCATCCGGTCTTTGATCATTGTTACTCAGTGCTTCAAACCTATTTCTCAGATGATCTTGAAGTTCAGATGGAATAGATTCAAGGTCATATCTTGTTTCTTGTGGACTTATTTTGATTTTCTTCAGCCTCAGTTTGAACTTGCATATGAGCAATTGATGTTCTGGCCTACAGTCCACCCTAGCCTAGTTTGAACTGCCAGTATTGAGTTTCTCTAACAATTTCTTCTACAGATGTAGTCAGTCTGATTCCTATGGAGCCCATCAGGTGAGGTCCATGTGTAAAGTCATCATTTGTGTCTTTTAAAAAAGTTATTTGAGGGGAGCTCTGGTGACCTAGTGGCAAGAAGCCACACTGCAATCCCAGAGGTTCACGGTTTGAATCCACCAGATGTTCTACTGGAGAAGGAGGGACAATCTCCTCCAGTGCCAGTCAGTTCTCATTTGACGGTACACACACAAAAATAATAAAATTTTTTTAAAAAGTTATTTGCAATGAATAAATAATTGAAAATAGAAAATTCAATTATTCTATATCGAGCCTCATTTCTATCACCAGGCTCATATTTTCCAACTACTATTCCTTTTTCCACAACCCTGCTTGCTGAAACTGAGGAGGACCTGAAGCGCTTGCTGCAGAGGGTCAAGGACTGCAGCCTTCAATATGGATTGAGGCTCAATGTCAAGAAGACAAAGATTCTCACCACTGGACCAATTGGCAGCATCAGGATGGATGGTGAAGAGATTGAGATATTGTTCACAGCTTTAGTTTGCTCGGCTCCACAGTCAACACTCTTGGCACCAGTAGCCACGAAAGTAAAAGACGTATTGCGATGGGCAAGTCTGCTGTTGGGGACCTCTCTAAAGCGCTGAAGAACGATGGTGTCTCTCTGGAGACTAAGGTGCATCTGATACAGGCCACGGTCTTTGCAATCACTCATTATGCTTCAGAGAGTTGGACAATGACTAGGGAGGACAGAAGGAGAATTGATGCCTTTGAGCTGTGGTGCTGGGGAAGAGTGCTGAGGGTACCATGGACTGCTAAGAAACAAACAGATTCATCCTGGAGAGGGTTAAACCAGGCGACTCCTTAGAGGCAAGGATCCTGAGGCTTTGTCTGACATACTTTGGACATGTTGTAAGGAGGGACCGGTCCTTAGAGAGGGACACCATGCTTGGTTGGGTGGAGGGACTGTGCAGGAGAGGAAGGCCCTTTATGAGGTGGATTGATTCAGTGACTGGGGTAATCAGGATGGGTGTGTCGGAGATAGTGCGATTGGCACAGGACAGAGCAGAGTTTAGGGTCGCTGTGAGTCGCAAGCGACTGGACAACACATAACAACAACATTCCTTTTTCACTGTTTCCAACTTTTGCATTCCAGTCAGCAGTTATCATTAACACATCCTGATTGCATGTTCAGTCAATTTCAGACAGCAAGATTTATTAAAAACTCTCAATATCTTCTACTTTAGCTCCAGATGTAGGAGCTTGTATTTGAATAATAGTCATGTTAACAGGTCTTCCTTGTATGTGTATGGATATTATCCTATCACTCACAACATTGTATTTCAGGATAGAACTTGAAATTGACTTTTTTACTATGGATGAAACACAATCCAAGCTATTTACATTCCATGTTTCAATTACTAAAGTGTGTTTGTCATTGTTTTTCCTCATTTCATCTGACTTTCAGTATGAGCTCTACCAGCACACAAGTATAACTATCCACATTCCTCTAGTGTTCATTAGGTTTTCAAATGCCTGTTACTTAAGAAGTGAATGGCCAGTCATGCTTCCTAGCCTTAATCTGGTCCATATATTTTCCCATTCGGAAGAAAGGGGATCCAGCAGAATGTGGAAACTACCGAACAGTGTCTTATGATTGAAGCCATGGTCTTTCTGATCACTTGCTACACATCTGAGAGCTGGACAGTAAATAAGGATGACAGAGGAAGAATTGATGCCTTTGAGCTGAGGTGTTGGAAAAGAGTACTGAATATCCTGCAGATGGACAAAAGAACAAACAAATATGTCCTGGAGAGGGTGCAGCTGGAGTGCTCTTTGGAGGCAATGATGATGAGGCTTTGCCTCAAATACTTCAGGCACGTTACTAGGAGGGCTTGCTTGGAGAGGGACATGAAGCTTGGAAGGGTGGCAGGTCAGTAAAGTAGAGGAAGACCCTTTAACAGGAAGATTGACATGGTGACAGCGCAGTGGACTCTAGTGTGTCAGGATGTGTGAAGATAGCACAGTATAGGATGGGGTCTGCTTTTCATAGGATTGCTGTGAGATAAGCTCAACTCAGTAGCACCTAACAATAATATAGATTCACCAGTTATTAGCAGTACACTGACATTTTTCTACTTCTGCTTTATCGTTACTTTCCAAATCCTTTCTGTGTAAGCAAGTCAGTGCTAGGTTTTTTTCTGAATCATTTGAAAGTTACAAGCATCATGCCCCTTATTTCTGCAATTGCTTCATTTATATTTCCTCAGAAGAAGGACATTCTTTTAATTAACTTCAGTATAAATATAAAAATCTGAAAATTTAAGATTGATGTATTTCTGTTATGTAATATAGAATCATTGCCAATTTTTTTAGTTCATTTCCTTGTCTCTTTCAAAAAATTTACTGCCATCAAGTAAATTCTAATTCAGAATGACTATAGGGTTTCTTCATGAAACAACATGATCAAAAGGCAGTGGTGATAACGGACAAAGTTCAAGCTGCTCTAAAGGGATTTGCAAGAAAGAAGACCCCTGGAATTAATGAAATACCACTTGACATACTTCAACAGACAGACACTGCCCTGGATGTGCTT